CAGGAATGTCGTGTAATGGGAGTCAGTTATGGGTTACCCTCTTCATACTAGTGAGGCCGCGGCTGCAAGATTTCAGGTCCATTTTTTTGGACACTACATTTTAAGATAGGTACAGAAAAGGAGAGCGTAAATGAGAAATTCATTTAGGGTTTGTGCAGTCTGGGAAGGAAAAGACTGAAAAGGGATATGATTACAATTTTCAGTATACAAAGGATTGCTTTAAAGAAGATACTACCCAATTGTTCACTAGGGCCTTTAGGTGCAGGCAAGAAAGGATTCAAATAATTTGTAGCAAAGACTTAGGGAAGAGTTTAAACTTTAAGGTGTACGTAACCAAAAAACAGACTAGGTATGTTCTGGATTTCTTTTACTTATTGGTTTTTCAGATAGAGAAAAAAACACAGTGGTCATGGATGAATGAAGTATAATTGATCTCGTCTCATGACAGGATATCAGTGTGTTTGGTTTCTTTAAGATTCTTAGCCATACATTTCTGTGATTGTGTTATATACCCATTTGAAGGCAAACCAGTTTTCAGACTAAGTCAAGATACCCCTTTAAATGGCTGAAGTGCATCTAAGTTTAAATTGTTGCACAGTTCTGTTATTTCAATATTTTAATTTCTGTCATTGCTTCTCAGTCTTGCGTGTGTATCCATTTTTATTCCTTAGGGTACTCTGCTTCGTTTGTTAGCTTTGCTATTTCTAACTGAACGCATGCGATGTTTTTTTTTAATACAGATACCTTTCCTCTAGTCAAAAGTTATTGCAGTTCTGTGTTTGTATTCCAACAACGTCATGCTGATGCGCTTACCATTCATAGCTCATATAATACTATATATTAGCTCATTATGGAAATGTAGATTTGGTGTTTTATTTCCTAACTAAACTCTTAGCATAACTGAGGTAACAAAGAAAATTTTCAGTTTTGAGAAATGCTGTACCGTCATCTCTGTTTGAGGGGTTGCCTTGTCAAGAAATTTGTATACAAAGGGACAGGTAATTTCTTATAGCTGGAAAAGCTAAGTTAGACCCCAGTGCTGAGGGCACAGCTGTTTTATGTCTGTGAGAAAAGTTACCAACGGGAGTGATAAAACATGAATAGAATCTGGGGAGTGGAAGAAAATGGCATTTGAGTGAGTGGCCAGAGACTGTTTGTCAGAGGTCATATTGGCAGTATGCACAGCTGGTCTGAAGTTAGTGGTGGAGGGAGAACCCAAGAAAACAAGAGGTTAGGACTTAGACTGAGCAAAGACTGTTCTGCTTGAGAAATACAAAGGTGTGGTTAGAGGTAGGGATAAAAGAAACGAAAAATGTCAGCAGCATTCAGGAAAAGATTAGAACACAGTTTAGAGGCTGAGCTGAGGGCTGCAAGTCAGAGAGTTGTATTATGAGATGGTGATGTCTGGCATGAGGAGCAGACATCGTCTAATGGGCTCATTGTATACAAAAAGAGGGAAAGTGGTGTCCAGAGGCAGAACCCTAGCCATTGGGTCTAAGTGGGCAAGACCGAAAATCAGAATTAGGAACCAGAACCAGGGCCAAGCCAGGTGAGAAACTGAAGAGATAAGGAAGGGGAACCAACGCTATGGCAGACAAAAGGAACAAGGACCAGGACACCGTAAGAATGGGAACTAAAAGAAGAATTTAGAACATAGCTGCAGTTCTAGATGCCAAATGGACAAAGATAATTTGTGGAGTTGCCTTGTATAAGGGGGAGGTAGGGCTTTGGCTAGGATGGCTCACTACTCAGTCATTAGTCTCATGGGACTCTATTTATGGCAAGGGATTTATAAGAGTTGTATAAGATTGAGTCTCTCTCAGTGTTCAAGCAGAGTGTGACTGGGACTGATAGTTTTACTGTGGGGAATTTTTGTGCCCCTGGCAAATGTCCAAGCTCACCTCCTTCAGGAAAGGTTACTGAAATACTGTTGCAGATGCTTCTTGGACTGTTCTAAATGCCTAGTTTTGAATTGCCAGCCAGCACTCACCATTATGCAGAAACGCTTTACTAAAATCACAGTATGTTCCATAGTCCATCACTTGAGACTCCAACCTGACAAGAGATCCTCAGGGAGAACATATTCTGGGAAGAGAATAGAAGGTAGATCTTACGGAAATTGCATGGAAAAAATTCCCTCGTTCTTTCTTTTTCAATGAGTTTCCATGGTCAGAATCATTTCCTGTAGGAATCCTGAAGTGAGGATGACTTAGCAGTTTGTGAGCACCGTGTTAAGATGGTAAAAATGGCTTAATTTGACACCAAGCATCCTGATTGTAGCACCCCAACTTCGGAAACTTACATCAACGTCATTGCTAACGCTCCCAGTTTTAAGTAAACTGTCAACCTGACATGCTGTAGCTCAGTTCAAGCAAAGTGTGAAGTTGGGCAAGCATTAAAGAAGGCTGAATTCTCCTCTCCTGTGTGCGTTAGCGTTACCTCTATGCTGAGGAAAGTCAGTATTTGAAATGCAAGTTATTTCTTGGCCTTTGTGTCACTGGATTAGTCCTCAGCAGGATACATGGGGAGCGTTTTCTATCCACAAACTTTTCTTTTATTAAATGTTATAAATGAAGGGGGGAAAAACCAGGAATTTCCTCATCTGAATTGACAAGGTTTTTATGTGCCGCATGAATTCAAACTCCTACTCAAAAGCAGCCCAGGAGAGACTTATTTGATCTCTATTGATCAGTATATGCTACCACATACCATGCTACAGCGTGCGGTTTGCCTCATCTTTCACTTTTACAGTACTGCTTTTTAGCTGTCAGACTCTATCATTTGGAGGAAATGTCAGAAGCCGTAAGCCTTTCTATTTATTTTGCTCATCCTGTCAACCGCAGAAGTTTTCCAAAACCTGAACTTCCCCAAATTCCTGTGAAGGAGAGAAGAATTTTTACATATGCTGATGAGCCTTAAAAAAAATATAAGACTAGAAACTGTAATGAGTTTATTTAACATTATAGTTGTGTTCAAACTTAGAGGACCATGTTCACTGCTACATTCCATAATCACTCCGTTCGAATGGTGACTGCCAATATGACAGCTACACTAACAGATAGGTAAAGAAAAGCAGGCTCATCCCTGTTATGACAGTCAGTTGTGGCAGTAGTGATTCTGCCCCTAGAGATCTTATTCCTATTCATCTCCCTAATCATCTGGATGCTTTCGTAGGTGATGCGAGTAGAACTTTTTTTGCTAGATCATGACAGAGAAATCAAGAACTCAGTAATATGTAGCATCCACAGGGAGTAGGGCTATCTATCTAGATTTCTTTGACAGGAAAACCCCCCAGTAAATATCTTACCTTGCGGTGCGTGGAAAGCCCAGGGATCCCTCTCTTGCTTTGTCAGTTGCCAGCCCTGATAGATACTTACGCTTTTTTTTTTTTTGCTACTAGGACTCAAGAGGGTCAGGCAGAAAGTAGCCAAAGTTGTCGCTCCTGTTCTGCCTGAGCCATTGTCTTGGAGTTGTTGCTGTTTTCCGTTGGTTTCCCTAAGACTTTACCCTTTCTGCTTTAGCTGTTATCTACAGCCAAAAGAAATACACTATTTTTGTCTTATTTAATATTATACATGGATTATGATCTATAAGCAACAAAAATATGTTGATCCATAGTATGAACAATTTCATAGACAAACTCAGTGAGCGTATGTGTCGGGTTGAGAGGCTGGGTTCAGAGAAACAATTCCAGTCCCACTTGTTTAGGTGATTCATTTTTATTGAAAGGTGTAGGTTTGGCTATTAACTTGAGTAATACTTTTGGTACCTTCTTCTGCACATCAGCTTGTATTGAAGGTCATACAGATTTTTTTCGTGGTGTACTTTGAATTTTTCAATATCCTTCGGGTTGGCATGGGTTGTTTTTTGTTTTTTAATTCTTTGTCAATGGAAGACTCCCCACCCATGGAATTTTAGTCTGTTTTAAAAGGAAATCCTTTTCAGCATATGGCAACCTGTTTCCAGTTGGAATTTTCTGTGAAAACCTCAGTAACTGCACTTTGGCATGAAGGATTATGGTAAGAATCCAGCCACATAATGTAGATTTTTCCCTAAATGGGTTTGCTGAAATGTTTCTACATTTTGCTAAAAATCTGTTGCTTGAACTGATTGATACATGCTCAGTATTCTTTCCAAAATTCTCCCTGATAAACTTAATATTGTGTTCAGAAGAACTTCTAAACAATGAGGGAGGGAAATAACAACCCACAATCAAGTGAGGACATGGTGGATTGGGTTGGCAAGCAAAGGATGCAGGGTGATGTGGACAAGAGACACCTCAAGCATATGCACACAAATAAGGACAAACTGGGTATACGCAAGTGCATGGGCCCTGATGGGATGCACCTTGAATGCTGAGGGAGCTGGCAGATGATGTTGTGAGGCCGATTGTGATTGTCCTTGCAAGGTCATGTCAACTGGGAGAGGTTCCTGAGGACTGGAAGAGAGCCAATGTCGCTCCTATCTTTAAGAAGGGCAAGAAGGAGGATCCAGGAAACTAGAGGCCAGTCAGCCTCAGCTCGATCCGTGGGAAGGTGATGGAGCAAAACTAATCCTGGATGCCGTTTGCAGACGTGTGGAGGAGAGGAAGGTGATCGGGAGTAGTCAGCATGGCTTTTTAAAGGGGAAATGATGCTTACCGAAGCTGATAGCCTTCTGTGATGAGATGAGTGGCTTGGTGGACGAGGGGAGAGCTTGTCTGCCTCGACGTCAGTAAGTCTTTTGTCGGTGTCTCCGCTAGCGTCTTTGTGGACAAGCTGAGGAAGTGCAGGCTGGAGAAGAGTTCAGTGAGGTGGACTGAGAGCTGCCTAAGCTGCTGGACTCAGGGGCTTGTAATCAGTGGCATGAGGTGTGGCTGGAGGCCACTCGCTTGTGGTGTCCTCTGGGCCTTGATCCTGAGGCCAGTATTATGTAATATCTTCATTAATGGCCTGCATGGTGAGGCTCATATCACTACAGATTGAGATGTTTTTGTGAATTTATCTATCTCATGCTATTGGGATAGCATAAGATGCTCATTGAAAACACTCTTTGAACAGACACTTTAAGACTATGTATTCTTTTTGGCAGGGGTCTTTTGTTAAGAGCCTAAATAATACTGATTGTGTAATAGAAGTAGACTAAGGAAATTAGATAATGCTTTTATATAAACACTATAGATAGATTTTTTTTTTTTTAAAGTATCTTTGTCTGAGAGTTGGGGAAGTTCCTTCTGCGTGTCTTGTGGCCTAGATTGTGATGAAGGCTTTTGACTAGTGATCTTACTGACACATCTTCCTGCAAGAAGGTCTGTTGTAATTGGCGGGTTTAGTTTTCAGTGGGTGTTTGTTTTCAACTCTCTGGCTGTTACCTTGATTATTGACGTTATATGTCATTTTTGGAGATGCAGTGCTTTAGGAGAACGTAATTGACAAAGTGTACAATCTAAGAAGGATCCTAGAGTGGTATGTGAACTTTATCTTGCCTGTGTTTATGCAGATGGTGTGCTGAGCAGTGTATTTTGCTCACCTGGTTTAGGCACGTTTTGTCTATTTCTGCATACCCTGTATATCTGATCAACAGGGCAAAGCAAGCTCTGCACTTAAGTTCTGGCACTACTAGAGTCAGTGGTTAAATTCCTGTTGGCTTTAGCAGGGCCAGGATTGTCCAATGTGTTAAGTTTTGTAGAACTCAAGGCAAAATCCATGAATCAACAGAGCAGTGGAAACATTTTGATGCTTTATTATTGACAACTCTAGTGAAGTTTTAAGGGCTTGCTGAAAAGCCACGTGATTGCTTTTAGCTAAACATAAGCTGCAAGCCTGCAGAGAAACAAGAGATGTATATTCTCTTGTAGGGGCTATAAAATATGATTCAGGGAAAATAGGGGCAGCATGCAAGACATACACCTCCTTATTTTAAGATGTAGAATGTTAGAATGAATACTTACGCTGCATTACGTAATATGAATAAATTTTTACAGGAAAACTTTAAAGTCCACTGAAACCATGTGTGAAATCAGAGAAAATGCTGACTTAGAATTTTGACATCCTTACTGGGATGGGTTTAGTATTTCCGGGAGTTCTTAGGGTATTTCATTTGTTTTTTTGTTTTCCATGTTTTTGTTTGAATATAAGAGACAAGTGGGTAAAAGTTGCATGCAACGTAAATTTCTTGTCACATCTCTTACAAATCTAAACCAATTGTCTTTAAATACAGTGTTGACAGAGAATCTTTTTTTATCTGAGTGTCATGAATTTTGAAGGAGAAAATCTTCATTATTAAGAATGTGTTCTTGTCCAAAATACACCCTAAGTAGACAATGCAAAAATTCCCTTTTCAGTTGGTTTTAGCTTAACCTGTTTTTTCCATGCCTTGCCTGATGATATAGTAGTGGCTTCCTCAGCTTGTTTTGAAAAGGTTATGCCCATTGTATCTCTTTCTGCAGCTGAACCAAAAGCCTCACAGAGCTTTGAAGAAAATCTGAGCTCTGCATTTTTGAAGGCTTTCCTGCTGTGAAACTGAATGGGCAATCCCTTTTCTTGGGCTCATTTAGAACCATTGTATTTCTCCCACTGCAAGTGCAGTGCATCTCCGGTTCGTCAGAATCTGTATGCTGCTGTTTATGCTTACGTTTCTGAGCTGATAGCGTTAAGACTAGGCTGTGTAATTAAATATAGTATAGAAAACAGTATGTTAGTCCAAAGTCCCATTGACTAAGCTTTGAAAGGTGACATTTTATAGAACAAGGTGCTGTTAAGAGTACACTTTTATTTTCCCTTACTTTCAGACTATATTGCATTGACCAGTATTCATCCCCTTGGATAATAGGCTTCATATAATATGTTTGGAAGAGATTAGAGTATACTTAATCATGCAGCATCGAAGTATTAGGAGTGAGGGTAACTAGAGTAATTTATCTCTTTTTGATTTTCTGACATTTCTTGAGATGGTTTGTGTCCTTAAAATCCGCTAGGAAATACTCTTGTTTTGCAAGTGAAGCACAGAAATTTGACATTTGCCATTAGGCTTCTAATAAGTCATTTGCAAAGCTGGAAAAAGAATTCAGAATTTCTTAGCTCCTAGATCATATTGCACATTTCAGCATGTTGGTTCATAGTCAATTACGTTATGGGGATACTTAGCTGTTATAGTTTTCAGTTCGTTATGTCCAGTGTCTGGATTCAACAATATACGACTGTTGGAGACTTGTAGACTATGAAAAAGAAAAAAAAAAAAACTGGTCAAAGGAGAGAGAATCATCAAATCATCAAAACAGGCAAAGCAAACACAGGATACCCTGATTCAGACCAGATGGTATTGTAGCCCCTCTGCACTGTTCAAATTGAATCATTTTTGCACTCATCATCATTAATAAAAGTCCTTCTTTGGGAGGAAATGAGTCCTACATCCCTAAATTGCATTCAACATCTCCAGCAATGTTTTGGGAGGGAGGGGTAGAGATGAGGTAACAGTGGTGGCTATGTCATAATTGGGTGGCTCTGCATTTTTAAATGTGTTGTCCTACCCAACACTATGTTTCAGTGGAGTTCTTCTAGATTTCCTATACAGGTGGTTATCTGAGGGGCCATTGGCATGTTTTTCTTTAGTTAATATTGCTTCTATTTGATGAGAAAATATTTCTAGGAAGTGTTATTTCTGTCTATTTCAAGACATTGAGAACAAACAAAACTTCATTTGATTTCCTAATTAAAAAAACTTAAATGATACATGCTTCTAACACAATGTGATTTGCTTTTTCTTTCTCCACCAGGAGATATTCTTAGTTTCCTATTTGTTAGTCCCAAAATATTCCATAAAGTAAATGTAAGTGCAAGTTAAGATTAAGTCAGGGAGAGCTTATCAGCACACTATATTGCAGAGTCGGTTCATGTTTTTATATTAAACTATGGATGCACGTTGCTAGTTGCAATACCAGAAATGAGAACACTTGAGTCAGCATTTGGTGGATGTCTGATCCGAAGTGTCAGACTAAACTGAGCTTGGATGTTCAAGTGTGAAATTTCTCCAATGGGAGGCATGTTCCCTTACTGGAACGGGAATTGTTACCGGCAGAATCACCCAGGAAGGGAAAGAGGAACAAGGAAAATCTCAGGAGTTGCATTCTGGTTTTGAAAAACTCATAGTAGTGTAGAGCAAGTTAAGGAATGACATGAATATTCTGTGCCTTACCTTTTTCATAGAATTGAGGTTGTTAGAAGGCTCTAGGCCATGCTAAAAGACATTTCTTAGCTTTGTAAATAGCTGGGGGCCGTTGTTTTAATTTGTTATAATTTGTTACAAAATATTCAATTTAAATATTTTACATTTAATACTTCTTAAATGCCCTAAATATTCTTTTCCTCCTGCTTAAAAGAAAAAGCACTGAAGCAAAAACTAAAAAGTTTCCTAGGAGCTTTCATTACTGTTGTGTCTCTGTTCATGTCTTTATGTGCAGAGGTTGCTAAATGTCCCATTTCATTCTTGCTGATGCTTATGATCCCACTTAGGAGACCCAAGAAAATGTTGGCTACCTCTCCCCAGATTACAGCATAAAATTATTATTCTCATGTTAATACAAAGAGTTATTAAATATAAATGTGAAAAATTTGCAAAAGTGGAGTTTTTTCTTAAATCTCTTTCTAATCCTAGTCTTTATTAGGATTACTAATCTCAACTGTGGAAATATATTTTGGAAATATATTGTGGTGGTCTCTTTTGTAGGTTCTGCTACCTGGCAATCATCGTCTTGGTTTTCAGTATCCTCTTCTCTAGCTGATATATGTTGTTCTTTTGCCTTACCTGTTTGTTTTAGTGCTACTGTGCAGCATTATGTTACACGCAGCTGATGTGAGAGATGCTTTAAAACGAAGTGTAATACTATCAACTGTACAGCCACTTCCAAATTCGGTAAATTGCGGGCAGGTTAATTGAATGTCTACAGTCTGATAAACATTTAAAGATACGCTTTTTGTGCATATAGGTTCCTAAAGGATTGCCATACTTTTCAGTGGACTTTGGTCTTCAAGGAGGATTTGCTCATGTCATTGAAGATCAACACAAGTTCCCTCATTATTTTGGAAAGGTATTGTGATGTAAAAGATGAATTTGGGAATGATTCTCTGTTTTGTAAAATTTAAGTAGTTAAATGAAATGCTGCCAGAATGGAGTCACTTTGATGTGCCGTATCAGAGTGTTTTAGATGGCTTTTTTTGATAAGTCATTATAAGTTAGCTTGTAAGGGAACAGTTGTTTGTTTTTTCTTTTTTCTTTCTTTTCTTTTTTTTCTTTTTTGCCTGGGTGATACTCAGAATGTGATTCTAGAGGAACTCTACGTGTTTAACATATAGTTTGATAGATGGGAAACACTTGCGTCTATTTATAGGCACACTTACTCTAATTGTATAATTTAGGATGTATACACACACAGACTCATAGACAGCTCCTAGTGCAATGTGTATGTGGTTAAATGACTCTATTGTTACAGAATGTGCTATATAAAGGATGAGCTGCAATAAAATCTTCATTTCTTTATTATGACACGTCAGTAATTTATTGGAAGAGACAATATTGCAAAAATGGTAGGAAGGACTGGGGAGTAATAGAACTTATTACAAGTAGAGTTAAGAGCCAAGTAAATAGCACTTGCTTTTTTTGTGACCTTTTCTCTTTTTAGTCACAAATGTAGTAATATAGCAACAGTCTTGCAATGCGTTGCTGTGCTGTACTTAAGAGAATTTTGCTGAAGCAGCCATCTAACAAGATAGTTTCTTCTTTCTACAGTTCTTATTTTTGGTATATTTTTCCAGAATTTCCAATTTTAACAGCTAGCACTTAAAACAGTAATAAAATAATCCTATGATTTGAAAATATTTATTCCTCTATTTTTATGACAAAATAGCATTAAGTAATATGGTAATTTGGCATTTATCACTATTTATTTTTGTTCTACTTGCAAAGGAAATCATTGGTGGCATGCTGGACTTGGAACCGAGGCTCTGGAGAAAAGGAATCAGGCAGAACTTTGAGGATCAGAGAAAGAAAGTGTTGCAGTTTGCACAGTGGTGGAAACCATATGACTTTACCAAAAGTAAAGAATGAGTACATCCAGTAATTGACTGGGTGAGGACTGAAAGCAAAAGCTGTCAAGGACTCCATAAGCCATACTTTATTTTAAAGGATATTTCCTGTGTTAAGTATAACACCAGTGTGTTAAGTATTGCTAGTAAGTATTTTAAAAGCTAAGAATATTGTTTAATTGCTGATTATCTGTTTCTGGTTTCTGCAAGCTTGACAAATTAGAAGTGTATGGCTTGTGTTTTATTTTCAACTGAGCCAAAAGACCAGTGTCCGTTTGGCTATTGGAATTCTTTAAAATGCCCTTCTGCTTTTGGAACTTTTAAAATCTTTGCAAATTAGTTTTTTCTTGTATTTAACACGGAGTTATTGCTTACTTATTGCAATGACATTTTGTAGAAAATGGTGTAAATTTTAAGAATATTTTAATTAATGTATTGTTGCAGAAGGAAGCCTTTATAGAAAATCATTTTCTGTTTTTGCATTCTTGTGGTGTTTTTTTAAGTTGAGGTCATTACAGCAATATAAACCTTCAAATGTGACATGGTTGATAAATCTTCTGCTGGCCCCCTGCACAAGATTTGATGTAGTTTTCTATACTTTCTTTTAATATGAAGTTTTATTTTCAAACTGAGTTGTTGCACAAAGGATAATGAGACAGACTTACATGCACAAAGATTTTTTTCACAAGGTCCACAGCTGATGGCAAACATGAACTTTAATGGTGAAAGTTATTTTTGATGAAAATAAAAAAAAAATGAAAGGGGGAGGGCAGAGGGAGCTTAAAGGAAAAGCACTCCCTAGTGGCCACCCAGGAAGAGAATCATCACGGGGATCTCCCCAGATTAGTGTTCTCCCTTGGTTGTCCTCTCCAGTGCGGGAGGTGGTCCCCCATAATACTTTTCCAGTAGTAAATATATAGTTTTTATTGGGACCCACTCAAACTCCCAAGTGGTTGCTCCTGCTTATGGTAGCAGTAGTGCTGACTGGAACACACTTTGACCAGGGGCAGGTTTTTCACGCTAGTTGGTTGTTAAGCATTATGCATGGATATCACTGGGAAATGCTTGTCAGCTGTCTGAATGACTATTATCTACCATATTATTCACGAGGTCTTGTTCTTCCTCTTGTGTAAAAGCTACAAAAGAGAGGGTAGGAAAGGGTGAGGGGAAGAAAGGGTGGTTTTTGCACCAGAGGCAATCACTTCCTACGGGAAATATGACAAAGCAAATCCCAGGCTTTGCAAGTGCAGAACTGGGAGAACAGGACCAGAAAAAGGACAAGGGCAGAAATATATGCAAAATGTCCTCCAGGTACATTAGGGAAAGGGTGCAAACTTGCAAGCAAAAGACTGCAGTGTTTTGGGGAAAGGCTTCAGAACGGCAAATGGAAGGCCTTTAGATTTTACAAGGGTTAAGACACTGTGCAATGTTGTCACAACGAGCTTCCAGCTTTTTTCCTACTGAGCCATCTGCCTGCACAGCTCTGCCAATTGTGAACTCAAATCAAGAGATGGATCACTAAATATAGGGTTGAAAAAGTGTTAATTTCTTGTCCCATAGTATTCTGCAACTTCCTTGAAGAGCTAGGCCATTTTTCTGTCATACCTGAAGCTTTTTTTTCCCCCTCCTTTCTGCCCAATAGGTCTAGTGCAGGTAGAAATCTACTGTGTTGTGAATTATTTTCTGCTGGATCTTTGTAAATCTGTTTCACTGCTAGGAAAATAACTTAAAATTAAGCTGCCATGATCATTTTAGTGATTTAATGTCTGTTTCATACTGTATGCAAGCCAAAGGTATAAGGGCCAGTTCCACTATTCTGCAGTTGATTGTGATTTTTAAGCTACTACAGCAAATAGGTTATGAAATAGTAGCTGCATTGCTTAGAACGTGGTAAAGCCAAAGCAAATTTAGGTCAAGTGCAACCTTTGTTACTATAAAGCATGACTAAAGATTGCATTTCGTCTGAAAGCGTGTGTTGCCTTTGGTCTCATCCGCTGCCTTGGAGGATAGCCACAAAGCGGCAGAAGTAATTGTCTGTACGGGCATGGAAAAATCTTTTCCTAGCACTGTACTGGGGGTATGTTTTTTCTAAATAATGTCACTTCTGCCCAATATCTGCCTTTCTCAAGGGAAAATGTGTGTTTAACAAAGTGTGTTTAACAAATGTGTGTTTAACCTGTACATAGAAAAGTCTTCCTCCTTGACTCATGGTCTTTGCATATTTTATTATTCCGGTTTTAGCAAAGCTGCTAATCTTTGGGCAAGAAAAGACTCTGAAATATCTGAGTGAAGTGGCTTAAGCTAATATTTTTCACAATAGGAGACAGTGTGCTTACCATATGCACTGGGAATAGTATCCTGTTCTAATTGATTGCATTCATATCTTCAAGTTAAGCTGTTGCTCTTCATAAATAGCTCTAAATATTCTTGAGGCCTTGAGGGTGAACAAAGCTTGTTAGGGCACTTATGTGGAAGGCATGGGACACTTAGACTTCAGTTCTTGCTCCTATAAATATTAAAATATTTTAAATGGACCTTTTTCCATCAGGAAGGATACCCAATAGCTGAGTGGTTTGGGCAGTAGGAGGTGCAATAGGTAAATTCTGATCTCTTTAGGGAGAACAGGGATCTGCACCTGGATTTTTTACATTGCTATAAATGTGTTCCTATTTACTCTTGGGTGCAACTGGGGGAAAAAGGGGAACTTCCCCCTTCAAGTAAATCATTATACACACTGAGCAGAAAGGGAGTAACGTGTATCACTAGTAAGAAGTGTGTTCTTATTTACACACTGTAAATTCAGTGTGTGCCTGCTATCATGTCAGCTTTTTTTTTTGAAGTAAGGTTACTCCCCTACTTTGTATTTTCTTGCTGCATGTAAGAGATTGCATCCTCTCAGCTACATTCCAGTTTTTTCAGCGATTTCAGGGAGAACAGTGCTGCACCAGCACAGCACCATTACCACTGCTTGATCAAGCACGGGGTGAGGTCTGGGCAAGAGCTCAAACACCAGAGCTTTGTGCTTAGTTATGTTTGTTATTAGGCTCTTTACAGAGGATGGATGACACAGTCAAGCAGATCTTCACAGTCAAGCTGGTTCTGACTTTGTTGCCTTGAAGATTTCCAGCCTGGGTTTGTCTTGGGGAAAGCAAGCTTAGCAGGCCCCTGTTGAGATGTTCACTTCCTTCATTTTCTTATGCTATACTATTCAACCTGATGTTCCCCAGGCCTGCGTGGTTGCTCTAGAATGCTACCTGGAGCATGAGGCAATCGTCTTCACAGTAAGGACTCACCTTTTGAGGTTATTACTTTTGGTCAAATTGAAGGTAAGGCATCTTGGGTTTTTACCACACCATGAATTTGTAGCAAACGATTAGCTCAAAACATGGTGCTCAAAAGCTGCTTTGGTGTGGTTATCCTTCTGCATAACCATAATGGTTCGTTGATGGCAAGGTGATTGCCTGAGATCATCCAGTGTAAGAAACTGTGGGTAAACTCAGCTCAGAGGGAACACAGGTTTTGTTTTGTGTTCTTTCTTTCTTAGTTGCCAGTGTTCTTCCAGATAGGTAGTTCTCATATATGTTCATATTCCACTTGTCTTTCCCTTCTTCTCTTGTGTTTTCCATTGGACTAAGGCTATAAGATCATGCATTTGGTGTGATTTTGGTGCAACAGTAGCAGACTGTTGCTTTGTACTTATTAAAATACCTGAAAGGGTACAAGGTGAATTTTTATTGCTTTGCAAGGAAATGAATAATAGCAGCATTCAATATTAGGTCTGTTTGGACTCATTTTTTCTGTTTGTTTATGAATCCAAAGAATGAGTTACTCCCAGAATAATACTTGAGTGTAATTTAGTGGAAAGTAATGCATTGAGTTCAACCTAGTACTTTTAAGTTTAATACAAGTCCTTATTGGAAAATAGCATGTTAAAATTAATACCTCTCAGGGCTGGAGACACCAATGTCTTGCAATCTAGGAAATAAGTAGCATTTTGATGTGTCTGTTAAGGTTCTGTCATTGGTGTGCGTTTCTTTAGCAATTTCCTACCTTCTGCATCTATATTTTAATAATTAAAGCCTGTTTTCTGCTTCTCATCCCAGCTAGACTGCTGGATGAGCAGATGCCGAGCTGCATAGGCTGATATGCTCTTACTTTAAGCATAGCTTTTTTGGAAGTATTTTACTCAAGGTCCTAGTTGTAAATGTCCTTTCTAACCCTTACAAATCAAGATAGGATAGACTTTAGAAATCTAACTTTGCTAGGAGCATGGTTCTCATGTGCATATTGATGTAGTTTTGTGGTGATGTATCATTTTCCAGATGTTGCTTTTTTATGTAGTTAAAATGGGAAGAAAGGATAACATGCTTCTGTTCAAGAAAATACTGCTGCAATACCTATATAGAATATAGGTCTTCAGATCAGTCTTCGTCTTTCTGGTGAACTAAGCACAACAGCCCAGCTGTATCTCGGTTTATTTTGAAGCTAATGATAATGTGCCCATGAAGTACTAGAATTATGTACTGGCTGTAAATGCTTTAAAACTGCGTAATTGCAGGTCATCTTTAACTGCAAGTGTTCTTACCCTACCCGTCGTCCTGTCTCCCAGATGTGATCTGAGCAAGGTACACGGAAAGCCCCTTGGCACATCACGCAACACAAAACTACCTTGTCACTTACATCAGGGAAAGTACAACTTGACCACTGGGTCACTCATTTATCTGGAATGACAGATAGGTATAGTTTATCCTGTGTTGAGACAGGCCTAGATGCCTTCTCAAGGTTCCTGTAAGCTCTTTTCTGAGATTAAGATCATCTTGTTGTAGGACAAGATACAAACAGCTAACAGAGCTGATCTATTAAATATGGTACAAATACTCAATTATCACTGTGCAACTGCTCCATTGGTGTTGTCACAGATTTACAAGGTTTTGTTCAGGGATGCAAACTGATCTTTGTGTGACTAGATGCTTTTTATAGCCAGGCCTAGACACATGCTTTATAGCTATTGGAGAGCATTATAGCTCTTCCAGCTGCCAGGTCCTGCCCTTTTGTGTAGAGCAACTTTTTGGTTTAGTGACCCCAGCAATAAGTCCAAGTTTTGCTGAGAAGTTACATGTGAGGAGGAGGAAGAGAACTGGTGGTAATACTGGGTGCAATAGTGTCTGCAATAGGAACTGAGAATGTAGAGGTCATTTAGAATTCATGTGGGCAACTTCAATCAAAAAGGTTGATTTTCTGCTGTTGTTGTGTGTTTCTGTACTTTCCTGACTGCTAGTGCAGGACTAGGACTGATTTCTTATCTAAGCTGCTCTTTCAGTAGGTAGATAGTCTCAGCAAGTACTTAGCAATACTTGCCAAGATTTAGGAACTATTTACTTAAGCTAATTTGGCCAGTTTTACTGCAAATAAAGGTATAATCAGAATAAAAAGGTACAAAAACTGTCATGGCTACTTTTTGTCACAGTACTACTAACACTTCTGTTCTCCATCTGACTGTGCATTTCATGCCATATATTGATTAAATTTAGAGAACAACTGTTGAGAGATTTCTCTGATTTTACTAGAGCTGCATTGCGTTTTACACTATTAAGAAAATCAGAATCTATCCATTATCATGGGGAGGATGTAATTTTAATTTGTAATTCCTTGCATATGCTTTACTTGTTCAGGTACTTAATCTGATAACACTGAATTTATGAAATATATTAAATGAACTTGGAGCCTTCATAATTTGTGTGCAGCATCCATAGAATCAGAAAAGAAGGACTGGGGAGGAGTTACAGTTATCTGGTTGGTCCCGAGACAATATCAGCTGCATTTGTGGCATTCCTAGATCTTTCTTCTTCTTTAAGGCCTCTGATGATGGAAAATTCTCAACCATCCTACGCAGTCTCTTTTGGTGATTTGCTGTTTTCATCATTAGGTATTTGTTTGTCTGATGTTTTGTTTTAGTTTTCCTTGAATTAAGTCCCATGTTTCTTGTCCTGTCTACTGCAGATATGGAAAACATCATTCCCTTTGTTCTTTGGAGCATACTGTTACATGTTTGAAGGCTGCAATTGAGTTGTCTTTATGAATTCTATTCTTCAGGTTAAACTATGTCTCTAAGTCTCGACTAAGTCTCTATACTTCAAGAGAGATTTGATGTAATGAAAGTGTCTGGAGTGGCTGTGGCATCTCACTGGGGTGTTAAAGGGTTGTTGCCATTCCTGGTAGAACAGTCTTCTATTTATTCTCCTTAATGCAGTGTTTGCCTTTTTCACAAGAGCATGTGACATATTGAAGCTCATGACCTCCTGCAATGTTCAGATCCTCTGCTGCTGCTAGTTAGCTGTTTCTTCTCACAGCTGAATATTTTTGCCCAAGTGTAGGTTCTTGTCTGTCTTGTACTTACTTTTCTAGACCATTTTTCTATTTTGCTGAGATTGTTTTGACTTCTAGTTCTGCTCTTAAATGAGTTTTTACAGTACCTTGAATCATCTGCAAAATTAAGCAGCATACTGCATTGTGCTGCCTAGAAATTGATCCTGCATCTGTGTACACCATGGCACTTGTGTAGGCAACTTTACCTGCTATCACTTCCATTGTTGGTGGACTTGCTGCAACTTCTGATACTGTTGCTCTTGCTGTGGCTGTTGCTCTTGCTGTGGGCAGCACAAGTAGCAAAAGCAATTTAAAGGAGCCAGAAGCAGATAGCGTCTGGGAAAGGTGAGGGAGAGATGAACTTCATGATTGTGTTCTGGATTTCCATGGGGAAAAGTGGGCTGAGCATTAGGCATTCAAACAAGATCAAAGGTCCACCTTGTCTACAAGTGCATTGTGTGGTGGTGGTGTTGTTTTTTTTTTTTCTTGGTCCTAGAGCAACAGGAGAGACTGAAGGTCAAATTCCAGTCCGACTTGTAAATAGTTCCACCATCTGGAATTTTACAAGATCAAAAGCTGAGGTGACGCATCTGTAATTCTTCAGCTGTATTTCTCCTATTAAAGACTATCAGTAGATTTCAGCAGGTTTAGTATCCTCTAGAGTCTATCTCAGATGAGGCACATTCACCCTCATTGCAAAGCAACACCTGTTTGGTTTTTCACTGTTGCTGTTCTTGAACAAACGATGCTTACTGTTCTGGAAACGGGAAGAAGACTTTTGTACATGCTACAGGTGAGATTTAGCTCCATATTAAAAGACTCCATTTTATGTGTCCAC